ACGTGTGAGCTTTAAAATTTTTTCGATCAGAGATCGAAGATAGAACGGTGCCACCCTGAAGTTGACTCAGAGGGCTATCATGACAGCAATTTAATGCTGTCATGATAGCATATTTTTACCCTTCTTTTGTCTAACTTGCTTCCTTGCACTATAGGTAGAACCTATAAAATTTTTAAAGGCTTTAAATGTTTAATTTGCAATTGTGTATTTGCTTAGTGATTTAAATGGTTTGTTTCCAAGTTGGTTTTAGGATTAATTCCTTAACTACACTTATTTTATTTGAATTGTGTGATTTTTGGATAACACTCAGGGCAAGTGTTACACTAATCTACCCCCATTAACTCCATTTGAGTCAACAAGTTGGACCTATAACCTATATGGACTGAATCCCACTTTCACTATCAAACCCTAACCATAAACTCTCAAATATGGAAGAAATGGGAGATTAATAAGTATGATAATTACCTTGAGTGTTTATAGCCTTCAAAAATACTCTCCAAAGTCATCCCCAAGTAAATCCTAGCAAAGCATTGCATATCCCTTCTTTCTGTCTTTCCTTTTCTCTATATTTTTGTCTTATTCGCGACTGATAAACTACAGAAAATGGCCATGTGCCGTGGCGGACACACAATGTGCCGCGGCGCATGGCATAGAGAGGTCCTTCCTGCTCAAAAATGGCTATGCATCATGGCGAATGATCTACGCGCTGCGGCATGTGACACAGCAACTTCAACTCTTCCTTTTCTTCTCCCTTCGATGCCTGAGCGGCTCACCTCGATACTGAACCCACAACTAAGGCCGAAATACCATCAAATATGATTACTAAACCTTTCTAACCACACACCACTTTAACTTACTTAATTACCTAAATTAGGTTTAATTAATTAGGGAATTAAAACTCGGGATGTTACAATATGTGTTTCTAATTTCTCTCTATGAAATTCGCCCCAATTTCATGACTTAAGGGGTCATTTCAGTCTATGTGTCATGGCACAGGCAACATATGCCGCGACACGTGGGCACAGTGAGAAAAATTCTCACCACACACACTTGCTTCGACCCGAAACGCAATCTTCTCACTCCTATCTATTTAGTTAACATCCCAATGAGTCAAGTCATCAACTAATCATTTTAATCTCTAATCCTTTTCTAATTATCACCTTATCTTTAATTAACAACTAACCACTAGATTAAAAATCAAGATGTTACATGCTTCCATTTGTTTCTTACAGTACTTTCCTTCATTAAACTTCAGTTTATCTTTTTTCTTACAACGAGGGCAATATTGTCATTTAGCTTTGAAATTTAATATTTAAATCAAGCCTCAAGGCTTGCAGTGAGATATCAAAATCTTGGGGGTCCTCTTTTCATTATCTATGGTTAAAGGGTCCTTAGTGAAAACTTTCCTTATTTTGAAGTAACCAGCAACTAAATGAAAGGAAATGATGGGTGATGTACAAAATTTTCATTTTTTTTATACATTGACTAAAATCAGCCCCATGTTCAGGCCAAAAAAAAATTCCATTGCATATTAAAGATAATAATTTAGATCAAGCTCGACTAACTAGCCTGAATAAATATGAAAATCTTAAGGTTAAGCTTGTGAGTTTAGAAATTTTATTTACTTCAACATTATTTGAGCTGCCTGAATAAGTATAAAAATTATTGGTCAAACCTGAACCAAATAGACTTATCTTGAATACTCAAATTCTTTTATTGTTACTGATTAATGTTTGTTTTGAAATTTTTTTGAAATATTGAGAAAAATAAACATAAGAGGTTACTTCATATGGTTGATTTTATTCTTTCATTATTTGGTCTCATTTTAATAAGAATAGAAAAAGTGTTATATAGGATTAAAATTGGTTCAAAATAAAAATAGTAAAATAAAATAATATTTAAAATTTTAGGTATTTAGACAAACATAAAAAATTGAGGTGTTGTTAAGACAAGAGTTTGACTATATAAACTTTTTTTTATGTATTTGAATACAAGAAAAACAACAAGCCTTTATCCCACTAGGTGGGGTTAGCTACATGGATTGCAAGATACTAATGTGTTCTATCATTTATCAAGCTTTTAAGAATATTATTAATTAAGAGATCGTGTTTAACAACTTTCAAAAGTATTGTCTTAGGCCTTCCTCTACCCCTCTTAATCGAGCTCAAAGTTATATGTTCACTCTTTCTCACTGGTGCCTCCCGTGTTCTTCTTTGTACATGCCTAAACCATCTTAACCGATTTCAACCATTTTTCCTCAATAGGTGCTACCCTCACTTTTTTGCATACGTGCTCATTTTGAATTTATCTTTATTATATGTTCGCACATCCATCATAACATTCTCATCTTTGCTACTCCAACTTTATACTCTTGATGTCCTGTTAGAGCCCAACATTCACTACTATATAACATGGTCGATTTGATAGCAGTACGATAAAAAACTTTCCTTTAAGTTTATTAGGCACCTTACGGTCGCAAATCACTCCTTTAGCTTTTCTCCAATTAAACCACCCAGCTTGAATCCATGTGAAATATCCCCACTGATTTCGCCATCATTTGAATAATGGCTCCCAAATGTTTAAACTTTTTCACTTGAGGTATAATTTGATCTCTCAATTTCACTTCCAAATTACTGTCGACTAGTCTCTTACCAAAATTACAATATAAATATTTTGTCTTACTCCTACTCAGACAGAAACCTTTCGACTCCAATGTCTTCCTCCATAACTCAAGTTTGCAATTAACCTCTTCTCTTGTCTCTGCTATAAGAACTATATCATCGCGAAGAAGAACATACATTTGAGAATTCCCCTTGAATATGTTTCATCAAAACATTTAGGGTCAAGTTAAACAGATAAAGACTTAAAGATGATCCCTGATATAGTTCAATCTTTATAGAAAAATCCTTGTTTGACTACTAGGCGTTCTTATACTAGGTTTTACCCCCTCATACATATCATGTATGATTTTAATATAAGCAATCCGTACTTCCTTTTTTTAAGGCTTTTCAAAATACTTCTCTTGGTTTACGATCATAAACCTTTTTTATGTATTTGAATATTTTAACTTAATTCGAATAAACTTGCCCTACTCGAATTACCCACGGTCATACCATCATTCCTTGTACAGTATGTATATCAACAAGCCCCTTGTATTAATTACTTTACAATGCCTTCATGTTTAATTGATTGATATTAATTGAGGATGATTTTAATGTTAAAATTCTTAATTAATTATAAAAAATAAAAAAATTATGTTAAAGTTTTATATAAAAAAATTAATTATTATAAAATTTATTAACAATTGAATTAACACTTTTGTATTACAAATGACTTTAATTCAATTAAATAAAATTTATAATAATTAATTTTTTTATACAGGAGCTATATAAAATCCTTCGTATAAGAAAGAAGAAGAATATAAAAAAGTACGTTGATTCAATGCATGTGTCGGGTTTGTCCATTACTTGAGATGATTGATGTCAGATTGTGTTTTGATACATTCGGCGGGTGATATGATAGCTACTTTATGCCAATGCATGCAGATGAGAAAACCTTAGCCTTATTAAAGGAGTCGTTAAACTAGTGAAGGTTAGATCTAATTAATAAAAATTTAATTCATAATTTATTAAAAAAATCAAATCCTATTATCAATTATCTTATTTGTTGGTAATTTGTAAATATCTTTATTGAACTTAAAGACATGCCTTGTACACGATGAGTTTCTGGATCCAACTTGTCTAATTTCTTTTTCTTTTTTCTTTTACTGAAACCACCATCCTCGTTAATATCAGCTTAAAAGGGGAAAAAAATAATGAGGATGTCAATCATCTTTATGTTGGTAGTTTTAGCTAAGATGTATCCTTTCACTTAAGCATAAATACACGAAGCATTTAACTCGTTTTTTAATATGATTTTGCACTCATTGTACTACTACTTTATTATTAATGTTTATTGGGGAGGAGCGATATCATCATCATCATAATACATACTTTATTTATATTATATTAAAAATTATTTTCAACATGTTTATTTGAAAAATATTTAATTTCAAATATTGGAATAACCACAATTGTATTATACAAATATTTATGTGAGTATAAATCTAAAAAATATATCTAGTATAAAAATATTTAAGGTAAAATTTGGATGAGTGAATTTATGTTTGAATTTTATGTTTAAAATATTATTTTAAATTCATACATTTAATTTTTTTATTTAGGTAGTATAATTTTGTATGAGCATAAACAAAGTAATAAGGTTTACTCAATATAATAAATTTTTTGTTAAGAATATAATAATATTTTTCAAATTTTATTTCGGATAATTAAAATGTTAATGGAAAAATTTTAGATGTATCAAATCCACATCCAATAAAATTATACAAATTCAATTAAATAAAACTTTATATGTTATTAATTTTTAATAATTTTATTTTTATAATAAAATATCTATTTTAATTTTTTACATTTTTTTTCTATTATTATTAATATTATAATTAAATTATATTTAATGATTTATAAATGTTATATTTTTATTGATTGGTGTGGTAATCCAACTCTATCTAAACTTTTTCATGCTGATGCTAATGATATCATTAAAGTTCCTAAAAGTTCTCAAAGGATGGAAACCCGACGTGGCAGATGGCATTCCTTGCAATTTCGCTATGTGTCCCCTGAAATGCGAGGCAACGGTCAAGTGATGAACGGATCTGAGGGGACAGGCACGTGCGATGCGCGTGATGTCCACCTCTTCAGAAAAAAATAGTAACAGTCTCTAATCCAACTCCTCCGGACGCCAACCCCGATCCTCAACGGTCATATTTCACCGACATCCCCCAACGGTCATATTATATTCCTTGCTCGCTCTTCACCGTTAGATCTCCATCCAACGGCTGAGGCTCGAATTCCCTCTTCCTGCTTCCCTCATCTTAACCCTTTTTTTCTCCAATGCTGGAAAATTAAAACACTCGTAGGCCCGCCCAGCAAAGGAGAGTGATGATGATGGAGACAGCCATGGAAGTTGTGGAGTGGTGAAGAAAGAAAGATGGAGTGACTTATAGTACATAAAAGCACGAGAGTTTTACGGTTTAAGTTTCTTTTGGGTAAGTGACGACGAGTAGTGAAGGGGGTGTTGTGTTTGATTCTTCTTCTTCTTCTTCTTCATCTTCTTGTTGGTTGGATTTACTTCTTCTCTTCTTCTTTGTGCATGTCTGAAGCGAGTATTACTCAGAGGTGGGATTTCTGGTTTTTGCTCCAGCGGATTCAATTTCAGCCATGACGGGACTCTTGATCGATTCCACTGCTAATATGGGTTTGCATATTTCTCAGGATTTCTGCCACAGACTTGAAGGAGTATGTGTTATTTCTCTGTTCATAAACATAAAACAGGGCCCTTTCTAATGTCCAGTGCTTGAGTGTCTCTGGAATCCGATGATCTTTTTTCTCTGCTAGGTAGTCTCCGATTCTTTGATTCGTTTTCGGGTGGGCATTCTTTTATTTTTGCATATAAGTTAGTTCCTCGTTCATCAGTTCAGATTCTTTATTTATTTATTGCATTTTTACAGATCCATACAGGAACACTCGAATTTGTAAAAGGAAAAAAAAAAAAAAAAACACAGAGCTGTAACTTGATTGTTTTCTGGTTTCTGCTATTCATCGGATTCCTTTTCTTTGTTTCCATTTATACACACAAGTTTTATCAAAACGATTCACACACTCACTTAGTCCCTCTCTCTCTAAAACACATACATAGTCAAAGTTCTAGCTGATTTGGTAGGGCATACATATTTATACTTCATTAAGATACGCACACTAGAGAGAAGGGAGATAGGGAAACACCAGAAACTGCATCGGGTGGGTGAATTACAACGCAGGATTTTACAAAAGAACATTGGAAGGCTATAGGATGTTGGCTGGGTGTTCTAGTTCTACATTGTTGTCGCCGAGGCATAGATTGAGGAGTGAAGCATCTGCACAGTTTCAAGCCAGCCATTTCCAGTTGCCTTCCATGAGCACGCAGAGACTGGACTTGCCATGTAACTTCCCACGCAAAGACAGCAACAGCTCGAGATCGCAGTCCTTGAGGCCCGTCGGCCTCTCCGTCGAGAAGAAGCCTGTCGTCGTCGAGTCCAAGCCGAAGCCTCCGCCGACATGCTCTCTCAAGCAGAACATTCGACTTCCGCCATTGGCAACCACCACTCAAGCATCCAATAATGCTCAGAAGAACAACGAGTTCTGGGGGGAGAAAGGTAAGACCTTGAAGAGGCTTGCTGAGGAGGATGAATCCTTCGCCAACAGAGCCAAGAGGACAAAGGGTATTCTCAATGACAGTGAAAATCCCGATGATGCTCGAGAAATCCAAATGGCATCTGCCGGCAACTTCTGGTTCAACAATCCTTCGATTCCTTTCTCTCTGACTTGTTCCGGAGAAGAAAGAAGAAGACAGGGTGTGTTTTGTTCCTTCTGAAGTTGTCTCTGCACCATGGGTGGATTCCATTGTTACGAAGATCACAGATTTAGGCGAGAAAGCGTTGAAGGGAGCAATCTGCCATCAAAGGAAGCTTCAGTATCGAACACTTCATCAGAAAGTCGGAGCTTGAGCCTGAGGCTTAACGAGAATGACTCGGAACAAGAAGTAGTGGGTAATGGAAGATCGGGCAATCCTTATCACCACGATGTGACGGAATTAGAAACAGGAGACGAAGAAAATCAAGAGGAACATCGAGGGTTTGAGCTTGTGAGCCTACTTACAGCTTGTGTTGATGCTATCGGTTCGAGGAATGTTGCTGCAGTGCATTGCTTCATAGCGAAGTTGGGTGATCTTGCATCTCCAAGAGCAAGAACATCAATAGGTCGTGTGTGTGCTTATTTCACTGAAGCTCTAGCGATCCGTGTCACCAGAATTTGGCCTCATATTTTCACGTCACTACACCTCGAGAGCTAGACAGGGTCGAAGATGAATCTGGAACTGCATTAAGGCTTCTAAACCAGGTCAGCCCAATCCAAAGTTTCTTCATTTCACGTCTAATGAGATTCTTTTGAGGGCTTTTGAAGGAAAAGACAGGGTTCACATCATAGACTTTGACATCAAGCAAGGCCTTCAATGGCCAAGCTTGTTCCAGAGTCTAGCTTCCAGGACCAATCCTCCAACCCACGTAAGAATCACTGGCATAGGAGAATCCAAGCAAGAACTGAACGAAACAGGAGACAGACTTGCTGGTTTTGCTCAATCCCTGAACCTTCCCTTCGAGTTTCACCCTGTGGTGGACAGACTAGAAGATGTGAGGCTATGGATGCTTCATGTGAAGGAACACGAAAGTGTGGCAGTGAATTGCATTTCTCAACTCCACAAAACACTCTACGATGGTACTGGAGGAGCACTGAGGGATTTTCTAGGTCTAATCCGAAGCACGAATCCTGTTATAGTTCTCATGGCAGAGCAAGAAGCAGAGCACAATGGGATTAGACTTGAAACGAGAGTGTGCAATTCACTCAAGTATTACTCTGCTCTGTTTGATTCAATTGACCATTGTCTTCCACAAGACAGTCCAGTGAGGAACAAGATTGAAGAGATGTATGCTTGGGAGATAAGGAACATCATTGCTTGTGAAGGAAGGGAGAGAGTTGAGAGGCACGAGAGCTTTCAGAAATGGAGGAAGATGATGGAGCAAGGAGGATTTCGAAGTTTGGGAATCAGTGAGAGAGAAGTGACACAGAGTCAGATGTTGCTGAAGATGTATGCCTGTGAGAATTACAACGTGAAGATGGAGGTGGAGGAGGAGGAAGAAGAAGCTATAACTCTTAGTTGGCTTGAGCAGCCTCTGTACACAGTGTCGGCATGGGCCCCACTAGATGCTGCAGCAACAGGAAGTCCATCTTCTTATTCGCAGCCATGAACTTGTTGATTGACTACTTCACATTATACAGAAAGAAAGAAAGAGAGTAAAACAAAGGAACAAAGAAAGGTAGCATTATTTGTTGTATTTTTTGTAGGTAGGGAGAAATGGTCTATTCTTTCATTCTTTGTTGCAGATAAGATTTGATTTGTTCTGGTTCAAAATGTAGTTGCTACAGAGTACTCGGATTTTTTTTATTTATTCTTTTTTATACATAGATGATCATCATGATTGCTCTCCAGATGTCAGAATGATATAGTTGGAGTCAGTTTGTGTTCATTCTTTGATTCTTTTATTATCAACGTACTCTGAAATATTCTTTTATTAGTTGTTCTCCTTGTCCATGAAATGAATGAATTCAGCGTTTTGTGTCTCTCTTTGACTTAGTCTCATCTTCTCTTCACATGTTATCTCATTTTATTCTTTCCTGCAAATTAGAGAATCACTAGTGGAAACTTACAGACTAATTGGCCTCCAAATTCTTCGTCTTTTTGTCCCAAATTCCTTAAAGTGCATCAAAAAAAATTCTATGAAGATACAATGTACCATACCATCCATAATCCATTCAATAAAAACATGACATTTAGTTGACATTAAATATAATAAATTAATTCTAACATTAATGATAATAGATAAAGAAAATGTAAGAAATTAAAATAGGCATTATATATAAAAATAAAATAAAAAAATATAATCATTATCCTTATAGTTTTATTGGATTTTGCTATTAGTCCTTATAGTTTTTTCAGTATTTTTAATTTCCATATTTTCAACAAGATTGGGTGACATTTATTATTTTTAGGTCCTTATAGTTTTAATGTTTTCAATTGTTATAAGTCCTTATAGTTTTAGTGTTTTCAATGAAAAAAACTATAAGATTAAAAGAGATTGAAAACATTGAAACAATAATCAAAACAAAAATTCGATAAAATTATAAGGACTAATATGATTATACTTGCCTAAAAAAATTATTAAAATAATAACTTAAAAGATTTTATTTGATTGTATTGTTGTAATTTTATTAGATGAATTATGGATGACATAGTAGATTATGTCTATTTAAGAATTGCTCATAGAACTATATGGGCTTGTTTGGAAACCTGTTCTGAGAATATTTTTTTGTCAGAGCAAAAAAAAAATCTATTTGGTAATATATTTTTAAAAAATGTTTTAAAAAATAAAAAATAAAAAATTGTTTTGGAGAATAAAAAAATAAAAACTTTTAAGTGTTTTAAGATTATTATTTTAGAGAATAAGAGAACATAAAAAAAATATCTATTTATTTTCTTTTTTTATTCTAAAAACATGTTTTACAAAATATTAATTTTAAAATAATAAAATAAAAATAATTTCAAACAACTCTGTCTCTTTTACGCTCAATGTTTTTATGAAACTTTGGTCCTTCTCTATTGGTAGATACTGTTGGTCTAACCCGAACTGATTTAATTTCGCTTTTTTCTTTCTCCAAAGATAAAAAGAAATCAAAGTCATCACATATCAAGGCAATTTGAAACACACACAGACGTGCACTATAACTGTTTCACTGAGACCGACGAATTCAATGAAAATCAATAAAAGTTATTAAAAGTTTAAAATTACTAAGTCTATTAATTAGATAGAGTTATTAATTAATTAAGAGTTTTATTTCATTAGATAACAAAATATCAAAGTAAAGGATATTTAATCAGTCATTCTAAATATTATGTCCGATTTATTATACTTGTTAATGATATATCGTTATATATTAATGATAAACTTCATGTAAATTTATAAATTTTTAATGATAAATTTTTTTTTATATCAATGTGAATCTGCCAAACTCTCCAATTTTCAAAAATTTAATCTCTATTTTCTAGGCACAAAATTTTTCTTAACCTATAAGCCAATTTATCCATAATTAAACTCATAATTATTGTACAAACTATTCATTTTGATTCTATAAATAACTCATCTTCTAGAAAAAAAATTAATGGTGATTTTACCGGTCACTTCATGTAAGAAAAAGTGAATCATTAATTATTTTCTTTCAATTTTATCCTTTTATAATTTTCGATGAATAGAGAATAAAAAATTACATAAAAGAATTAAAAAAATACATTTAACAAGGATAAATTGAGAAATTTCTTTTTCTTTTCCAGATATATAGCATCAATAATTTATTTAACTACATCTTTTTGATTTGATAAAATAGTTAAAATTAAAAATAAGACTAATAGGAATTCAGGGGATTCGTTCAAGTTTGTGCCCAACGAGTCTCACATATCCTCTAATGGCCAACATAGTCTCACAATTAGTGGAAGTGGTAAAGACTCATAAGAGATGGAGTATCAATAAGGTAAGGCAAGGATCACATATGTACAAGGGAGAATTTCATTTAAGAACTTAGATAGCAACTTATTTTCTAGTGAGTCTCCAAAAATTTCAAATCCCAATTCAATCCTCAGGGATTAAATTGAAAAATAAGTTGAATGTAGAAAAGACTAAAATACTTTTAGTTCAAATATTGACAAATAAAACCACCAGTCACTGTTGCCGAAGCACCACCGCTAGTGTCTAGAGCCTCGCTAGCGATGGTAGCCATTGAACTTCCATTGTTAGAGCTTTGGTTGCTAGCTAGATCATCATCGATGGTGGTTGGAGAATTACGGAAAAATAATTTCTTCAAAGGTGGCCAAAGTAAGTGTAGAACCTAAGACCCTTTGGTTTACCAAAAAATCTTAAATCACCAAGCTACTCAACCCATTCAATCATAAAATGCATAAATTTATATATATAATAAACTTTGTTTTCAAACCACTTGATTACTATGTTACTTGTTAATCATGTAACTTTTCTTGTTAATACCTTAATAGGACTTATTAATTATTTAACTTTTCTTGTTAGCCCAATGACTCCTGCAACAGAATTAAATTACTTGTTAGTTACGCAACTATACTTATTAATACCTTAACAGGACTTGTCAATTACTTAACTCTCCTTGTTAAGTCTATGACTCTCACAATAGAGTTATATTATTTTTTAATTATGTAACTATAGTTGTTAATACCTTAAAATTATTTTAAGTAATTAACAAATCTTGTTAAGGTATTAACAATTATAGTTATATGATTTGTAAGTCATTTAGTTCTGTTACAAGAGTCGTGGGGTTAATAAGAAAAGTTAAGTAATTAACAAGTCCTGTTAAGATATTAATAAGTAACGTAATAATCAAGTAGTTTAGAAACAAAGTTTATTATATATATAATTTTATGCATTATATGATTGAATAGGTTGAGTAACTTAGTGGTCTAAAACTTTTTGGTGAACCAAGAGGTCTTGGGTTCTACACTTACCTTGGCCACGTTTGGAGAAATTAATTCTCCATAATTCTCCAGCCACCGCTGACAGTGGTCCAACCAATGGCCGAAGCTCTGGTGATGGAGGTCTAGTGGCTGCTACCACTAGTGAGGCTCTGGTCACTGGTGGTCATGCTTTGGCGACGGTGGCTAGTGTTTTTTCTAATATCTAAATTGAGGGTATTTTGATCTTTTTTACATTCAACTTATTTTTAATTTAATCCTTGAAGACTAATTGAGGTTTTGGAAATTTTTAGGACCCATTGGAAGATAAGTTGCTACCTAGGTCCTTAAATAAAATTCTCCCTAAGTATAATGTTAAGTCTAATGGCCATAAATATGGCTAAGAATTAGAAATGTGCACGGTAAAAGAATAAATGAGAAGGCTTGAGGAAGCTAAAAGCTAAGGAAGGAAGACAAGATGTCTAACTTAAGGAGAATAAGGAAGTCAAATGGGATAAAGAGGTAGTGATTAATTTACAAGAAAACATCAAATAGAAAATGCCACCTAATTGAGACCAAGTAATGACTCAAATTCCCATTGAAAATGGAATAAATGGGTCAAGTAAGCATATGAAAGTAAGCTTTGCAGAGTTTAGAGCTATAATAAGTCTTGAATAATAAGTATTCAAGCAAGCTAAGCATGAGATATATAGGAATGTAAAATGAATAGAAAGGGTAACAAATAAAATATAAGTGAATAGATGAAATATAAAGAGTTAAAGCTCTAAGAAAAATTTAAAAGTGCCTATGTAAATAGAAAAGATTTGAAAGTAATAAAGAACTATGAAAATAAAGAATGCAAATGGACTTGTGAAAGCTAGAATTTCAATTTCAAACCAAGGTAGAGTTAGAAAAATAAGGAACACTATGGTATGAAATCAACAACAAAGATTAACAAAAAAATGAATACTTGAGCAAAGAATGCTTCAAAGTAAGCAAAAGAGAAGTAACAGAGTTCATGCAAGAAAAGCTTGAAAAGGCAAGTGGTAAGAAGGAAAAGTGCCTTACATTAAAAGAATTAAAAAGGCTAACAGTGAATTCAAAAGAATAATATCAAAAAGATTCTTCTTGGTAAGCCTCTTGGTAATGAAATTTACATTATCAATAAAATAACGATATGAATAGGTATTTTATCCTTAAATTTTGGTGGCAAAATTTTAATGAGAGTGAGAGAATTGTAACATCTCAAATTTTGGACCTAGAAGCTCAAGAATATGACTAAATTTAATAAGCTACTAAGCTTAATTAATTAGAGTCTCTAAGGTGCCTTGAAAAGATAGAATGGTTCTCAAGGACCAACTCGTAATGTAAAAGTTTTTCCAGGGCAAAAGCATAATGTTTTAGAGACTTTAAGGGTGTATTCATAATTGAGGAATGAGTAAGTTAATGTCTAGAAGAGTCTAGGATAGAATAAAAGGATTAAAGAATTCCTAAGAGGGTAACAATAAGTATTTAAGATCAATCTTAGAGAATAATCAATATAGTTGCCAAATTAAATAGAAAAGCTATTTGACAATTTTATCCTCATATCCTAAGTCTAGTAGAAAATGATTGCAATTATATTCCAAGGATCATAGTAGATCCTAAAAAAGGCTCAATGAGATCACAATTAGATCTTGAGATTGCAGATATATCTCATGATCACAATAGACTTAGTATAAAGTTACTGAGCCACACTGTATACCACAATTATCTTCAAAGACAATGGCTTAGGATAAGTTTATAATACAAAGACTACTTAAATTTGGCTAACTATTATTATATAGAAAGTGCCCTTGACTTTTTCTTAAAAAGCTCAACTATTAACTAGGCTAAGAAATGAAAGACAAAAAAAGCGATTGAGAGAAATTGCCTACACAAGACTAAATGATAATTATTAATGTTTAATGATAATTATATGTAAATAAATATAATAAGATTATGAAAAAGTACCTAGAGTTAAAATGAACAAGAGAGAATATTAACCCAGAAATGTTAAGCTCAATTGGGGTTAAAAAGTAATTTTTGAAAGTGTTGGGTCTCAAAATGTAATTAT